CCCCCCCCCCCCTGAAGCAACCGCCAAAAAAGTTCCTTGAAAAAAAGTTTTAGAAAATAGAGTCCTAAATTTTGAATTAAAAAGTCCTTGAAATAAAAAGTCGCTAGAAATAAAATTTTATTATTTTGATATTTAATTTTCTTGGACTTTTTTTCTGGTTACCGTACGATTTTATGCAAAAAAAAGTCCACAGAGAAAAAGTCTTTTTACAGTGGAAAATGCATGGAAACAAAAGATTTTTACAACCATGAAAAAAAAAGTCCGAGGAATCTAAAACTCAGAATTTTATTTCCAATAAATAACATTTTGTCCTAGGACTTCAGAAAATTGGGACTTTTTTACCAAAGTTTTTATTTCCAATTTTTTTTTCAAACATTTTTTTTCCTGTGACTTTCTTAGGAGTACTCCGGTACTCCTACTTTCTATCTGTAAACTTTAGTTCTCCTTATTTCTATCTGTAAACTCCAGTTCTTAGCTTTCTATCTGTAAACTCTAGTTCTCCTACTTTCTCTGTAAACACTAGTTCTCCTACTTTCTATCTATAAACTCCAGATCTCCTACTTTCTATCTGTAAACTTCAGTTCTTCTTCTTTCTATATCTGTAAACTTTAGCTCTCCTACTTTCTATCTGTAAACTCCAGTTCTTCTACTTTCTATATCTGTAAACTTTAGCTCTCCTACTTTCTATCTGTAAAATTGACAATTATGTTAACGATCGTTAACACATTGTCAGTAAAATAATTTTTCAAAAACGATAGTTTTTTTAAAAGCGATTGTTTTTAAAAAACAATCGTGTAAAAAACGGTCACAAATCGATTTAAAAAAAATTCGTTTTCTAAATCGATCGTTATTCGTTTTCTGTATATTTTATATGTTCAAAACGAGCGGGTCGTTTTTAAAAATGATCGTTTTTTCCAAAAATGAAAATCTTTTTCTGAAAACGATTGAAAAACGAAACAAAAAACGATCGCTTGACGATCGTTTTCAAAAACGATAAACAACTCCAGTTCTAATCATCTTTTATTGGCACAGGTTATATATATTTTACTTATTTTAGATCGGCAAGAGATATTAAGAGAATTGAAGGCATTGCTCGCTCTCCTGTTTTCTCTCATCTATCAACCTCTCTAAATGGTTTAACATCAATCAGAGTATTTAACGCAGAAGACATGCTTAGGTTAGTCTTCTAGAAGAGATAAATGTTGTTAGGCAACTTTACGAATAACATGTCTTTCTTATGTTTTAGAAAAGAGTTTGATAGACTGCAAGATATTCACACTTCTGCCTGGTTTGCATTCATATCTGGGACCCGTTGGTTTGGTGTATGGTTGGATTGGATTGTAATCATCTACCTTGCTAGTGTTGTATTCAGCTTTCTTATATTAGGAGGAGGTAGCTACTCTAATATACCATAGTCATAGTGTGCGAGGAGGAACATAGGATGTTTCTTCAAGAGTGCTGCATATTTGATGTTTGTACATTAAAATTGGCCAGAGCCTAGAATCTTCTTCTAGCATATATAAGAAACCCGTCTAATTGTACACTTATCTTCTTCTAGCATATATAAGAAACCCGTCTAATTGTACACTTAAGCTGTTGAAGAATTTTCCAAAGAAACTCTATTAACCCTATCTAGGCTGGGCTATTTTTGTTTAATTTAGGCGGGGGAAGGGGGGTGTCGGGTCCCCCCTAATGATTTTGCCCTTAAGGTTGAGATAGGGGAGTGTGCTATATGTCCCTAGTCCATCGGTAAAAACCTGCTCATTAAAAAAAGGATTTTTAAAAAGTTCAAAAAGTACATCGGAAAAATGTTAAAAAATTTGTTGTGACACATTTTACTCACTCGGGTAAAATTAATAACGTTCATATTGCCAACTAGTTCAATAATTGAGCTGGATTAAAACAGTTGATGCAATTATTTATGTTCTTTGCAGATCTGGTTGGCGGAGATGTCGGATTAGCTATCTCTTCGTGTATTACTCTAACAGGAATGTTACAATGGGGAGTTCGGCAGTCAGCCGAGGTTGAAAATCTGATGACATCTGTAGAGAGAGTAATGGAGTATTCAAGATTAGAACAGGAAATATTGAGCACAGATCTATTTTTATTGCAAATCTTTGCCAGGTGAAAAGTAAAAGGCTGGGGTGATAAAATGCTACTGTTAAATTTGTTTAAATCGAACAAATAGATTAGAAAATTAATCATTATCATTTAGGGTTAAGTAATCATGTTGAGATGTCCCTAAGTAAATAAAGGGACATTTTTGTCATTTTCTTTTTTCTAGGACGCACTAAGAAAAGCCTAGTGTTGCGAATAAGATGACCTTTTAGGCCCCCTGAAAATTGCTAAGAAGAAATATGATATCTTTTAAAATTCTGCTTTTTCTGGATTTTCTAAAATACAGCTTAGTAATTAACTTTTCTTCAAAATTTACTGTACTCATTAAATAGGAGGCACCAGCTACAATAATGGAGACAAAACCCCCTAAAAGCTGGCCAAGTCGTGGAGTTATTGAGTTTAAAGATGTCAAATTAAGATATGCGGAAACAGAACCCCTGGTTCTAAAAGGATTAGACTTCAAAACCCATAACGCCGAAAAAATTGGTATTGTTGGAAGAACTGGAGCAGGAAAATCTAGCATAATTACTGCTCTTTTTCGTATGGCAGAGCCGACTGGTAGTATTTACATAGATGGAGTTGATGTGTTAAAGATCGGACTGAAAGATCTAAGATCAACAATATCTATAATTCCACAAGATCCTCTCCTGTTCACTGGAAGCTTGAGACGAAACCTGGATCCCTTTAACGAATTTTCAGACGACATGATCTGGAAGGTGTTGAAGGAAGTTAACATGTCTGAACCTGTCTCAGAACTAAAAAATGGTAAAATTTTGCGACATAAATATCACAAAAGAAAAGAATATAAAAATATATTGTTGAAAACTAAAATTGAAAAAAATATTAAAAATCTGTTTAAAAAACAGTGATGTTAATTAAATAGGAATTGAAACTGAGATGAGTGAAGGAGGAACTAATTTCTCCCTCGGTCAGCGCCAGCTGGTTTGTCTTGCGAGGGCTTCTCTCCGACACAACCGTATCCTAGTTTTAGATGAAGCCACAGCCAACGTGGATCCTAGAACAGACAAACTTATACAAGAACAGATCAGAACAAGGTATAGTACATTTGAGAAATAGATAATTTCAATAGTTTTTAATTAATTTTTCTAAATATCAAATAGATGATAAATCAACATATATTATTTTTCAAATTCATTGGAAACAGGACAATATAAAATTTTACATTACTTCTTTTACTTTTAGGGCATTTCGCGACCATCTTTAATTTCAATTGTGAACATGTTCTCTTTGTATACATGCATTGTAAATGAAAAACAAATAAAAAATTTCGGGGATTTTATAAAAAAATCGTGGATTTTCTAAATTTTCAAAAATCGAAATTTTTAGAAGCAAATTTTTGAATATTTGATCATCCATAAACCTTCCCTGGGTCATGCGAGGTCCCACAAAAAATTTGGGCCCGATCGGCTCAGCCGTTTTGGCGTTTATTGGATACCAACAAACAGACATGAAGACAGATTATAGAATGAAAGTGTGTAAAGAAAAGAATACAGCAATGTATCAACCCAGATATTCTGATTTTCGGGTTAAGGAGTTTTCAAGCATTTTATATGGTATTAAAAGATTTCACACAATTTTTAGTTAAATTGGATTGGCCCCTTCTTTTCTAAGTACATTTACAACTGTGCCATCAGGATAATAGCAAAGTAACAATTAAACGAACAAAAAAAGCTTTTAACAATGATTTGATAATGTTTTTTTTGACATTGTTCAAATATAACTTTGAAATAAAAAAAGTTTATAAAACTCATTAGATATAGTTTTAGAAAACACGAGTAAACAATTTTTTAACAGAGAACTTATTTAAAGGTTTCGAGAATGTACTGTTCTTACCATAGCTCACAGATTGAACACAATTATGGACTCAGATAGAATTCTCGTGCTGGGAGATGGAAAGGTACAAAAAAGTTTTTGTCATAAACTCTGATTTTTTAATCGCAATATCTTTGCAACACAATGTCTTGGACTTCAGATATTTCCAACTATAAATTCAGGTAAATCAAATAATATAATTTTGAAATATCAAAAGTTTAACACCATCAATTATCAAAGATATAAGGATGCGAAAATTTGAGTTTGTGGCAAAGACTCAATTCCTTCAGGTGGCAGTGTTAAAACATTTTCTGGAATTATTATTTTTACTCGGCAATTCGAAATTGATTAGTCATTCATAAAGAAGTTTAAAGTAAAATATTTCTTGTAAAGAATTAAAAAAAACACATTTTTTCAGCCCTCTGATCGAGGAAGTGAACCATAAAAAATGGTTCAATTTTGTTTTAGATTATCCAAAAATTCAAAGAAATATCCTTTTGCTTTTAAAAAAATAACATACAATTTTAAAAGTCTGATGGTGTAAACCTTTGATATTTCAAACTTAGATTTTTTCATCTAACAGAATTCATAGTTTGAAATATCTAAGGTCTACGGCATTGGGTTACAAAGATATAGAGATTAGAAAATAATAGTTTGTGACAAAGACTCAATTTCTTTATAAATAAATTTGTGATCTCAAATTTGTTTAGGTTGTGGAATTTGATACTCCGTATAATCTTCTTCGTAAGGAAGGCGGGGTTCTAGTAGAGTTAGCTGAACAGACGGGTGAAGAAAATTTAAGAAAATTAAAAGAAATTGCTGCGATATCGAACATGAAGGATTATAGCGACATAGGAGAAGATAATGTAACTGAAGTAGATCACAATACAAATTTGGACGAAGATGTAAGTTCTCCTGAACCATTGGAAGAATCTTGAATTCTCCAGGATCTTGATACAGTTTGAACCATGGGCTAGATAGAGGTGTATGGTAAAAACTGAAAAAATATAAACCTGTGTGATCATTAGATTTGACTAGTTAGGCATTGTGGTAGCAAAATAATCTAATTTTTTTAGGTAATAAATATTTTCATTTTGTGTTAGTATGTTACCATAATTTACCGCAGTATCATTATATTACAAATAATTTGTTTGTTGTCTATGCTTGGAACCAACAATAATAAGTCGACGCAATTCAAGAATAAATCTCTATATTTCTATGATTCACGTCTGAAGCGCATCTACTCATATAATTCAATATTGTCGTTTTCACACATTGTCCTGATTATAACATAAAGAAAATTATACAATTGCTTAATTTAAAAGAAACAATCACATTTTTTCAGAACTTAGTATCTCAAAAAATTCGATCTATTATGAACTGTTCAAACAATTTTTCTTGATATTTGCTTTTCAGGGTTACCCAGAAAGAATGAGACTTCAGAGACGATTGTCCGAAATTCTTACATTCCTTGCATGCTTAAACTGGAACGTCAAAATACAAATTGATTGCAGAACCCTAAAATCAAGCTCCAAATCGTCATATTTTAAGAAATGTGGGTCGTCTCTACAGTCCCATCTTTTTATGAGTAGCACTGTACCTAAAATTTTACCAAATAGAAGAGCAAATAGGAACGAACCACCGGTGCAGTTATAAGAGAGATCTTAAGAGATCTTAAGTTTTATACTGCTTGGTAAATATCATTAAACCAACTAGGTCATTTTAGTTGAACAAAATAAAGTAAGAGAGGCATCCAGTTTCATTTCACAGAAAATAACTTACAGGGTGTCCCAATAAACATGGCAAGACGAATTCGATATCGTCTTTGTTATGAATTAGCATTGTAATACCTAATTTCAAATTTTATTGGTACACCCTGAACTGTCTCATAAATAAGTATGATGAAAAGCTATGTGCAAATTTTACTGTTCTTATTGTTTCTGGTAGAGCAATCCGCGTAGAAACTAGAGGTGGGGGTTGACTTTCCCAATATCGTTAATTTTCACTGGCAATCTCATTTTTGACACTATCACCTTGAAATTATTTTACTTTTAATATATATGGCTATAATTGAAATTTTTTTGCCAAGGTTTTTTAATCAGTGTATAGGGTACAGAAGGGTAAAATGGCCGGTCGGTGTAAACATATTCTAGAAAAGCTGATAACTTGTTTATTATTTAAGAAAGATTTAAAAATTAAATATTTAAAAGCCATTGAAAAATACATTTTAAACATGTGTAACACGAAATTTTTTTTTCCATTTACGGACTTTTTTTGGACATTAAAACCTCTCCAGCATCTGAACCATTACAGTTTTCGTATTAATTTTTTGTTCTTCAATGAGCTGGCCTTGAAAAGTCGGGCTATGAACATTGAACATGCAATGCAACTTTATACCCTTATTCTTGACTATAGATCGAGCACTGCAAACTAACCAGGAGAAGAAAGTCAAATTCAATTGATATTGTTGGTTTGACTTTGTGACCTCGTTGCTCCTCTAGTTCTAATTTTACGCATGAGAAAAGTATATTTTTCTCTTTCCATATTAGCAATTCAAAACAATTTTATTCTACTCAATAGCTCTTCAATTAAAGAAAAAACAGATAAGATCTCAATCTGTCCATAATTCCATAATAAATATTCCCCCCCCCCTTTAAAGTAAAACCTCCGTTGCACCTCTGGTTTGTTGTGTTTAGTGTTGTGAACGTGGTGTCCAAGCAAATAATATTAATTAATTATTAATATTTTGGTGAGGTGAGGTGCTGAGGTTTAGTTTCATAAACTACTTCATGTAGAAAATACTTAACAACGAACAATATAGTATTGAGTTTAACCTTTAGAAGGGGGTACGGAACCCTGTAAATAAAGTTTAAATTTTTTACAATAGAGAGGGGGGGGGGACGATACCCCACTAAAACGTAGCAGAATTTTTACTCACACAAACTAACATTAGATGATTAAACATGTTAGTGACCAGATTCAATATATTCATTAGCTATAAATAATTTAATTTAAATATTCAAGGCTTTAAAAGTACTACGCGTTCCCTTTCCTGTATAAATTTTAGCTTTTAACTAGGGTTTCCAACGAAATAGATTATTCGCTTGCACGAAATTACGTGCACTTACGAAAAATAATTTTCAATTTGTGAAATTTCGTTGGATCACACGTAACTGACGAAACCTAAATTTCGCGAAATTTTGTAATAATTATGCTTAATTAGTAAAACATTGATTTTGTGAAATTACGCCGTAATTTCGCGTAATTTCTATAAGGTAATAATGTCCCAAAATTAAACTGTGGGTCAGCTGGGCATATTTCCTAACGAATGATAAAATTATTAAATTTATAAAATATAAATTTGGTGAATTTTCGTTCTGTTTAAAGAGTGAAAATGACGGACGGTGTGGATTGCATAGTTCTGGAATTTGACAAAAAAGATAAATGGTAAATTTTGAATTAGCGATAAGATAATAAAACATTGAAAATGAAAATAAATTTTTAATTCTTATTTCTTAAATAGACTATCGTCGTTATTTCCCCCTCTCTTAAAGGGACTGTTCACATATTTTAGGGGAGTTACTAATATTAATTATAGATATCTTTAATTTTTCTAAAATTAAATTAAAATTGTCTATTTTGAAAATATAACTTATTTTAAACATTTGACGGTTTGATACATTTTACCTACTTCCCAAGGAATCCCCATGATTTATTGAAGAGGACACAGCCTCCGAACCTCATTTTACCTATTTGCGGCAGTGCTGATTCCCATAGGGCTTCTAAACCTCCCTCAAACATTCTTCTGGGAATGATCTTTCGTCTAATTAAAGCAGGGACTACTTATATTATTTAAAGGGACTGTAAAGGCTAAAACCTGAAAATCTCAGGAGTAGATTGAGACCAATAAGAGGCCTTTCTGATGCTCCTGTCTCGAGAAATTGATATAAAACTGTGTAAAAATTAAACTAAAACGTATATATTTAAGATATAAGTTTGTACTGTATCACATGACCAGAACTCCCTCCAATGGCAATGCAGTATTCTGGCCACGTGATACAGACGAAGACATGTGACACTATTACTGCACTGCCATTGGTTAAAGGTCTGGTCACATGATCTGAACGTGTAAAAAATATTATCAATTTAAATAATAATAAGAGAAAACCTAAGTTTCTTAGGCTCCTCTGGGATATTGTCGTTTTTAGATTGGTTGCGTATTTGTTAAATATGATCTGTTTAATACTACGAATCTTATACAAAACCTTACATAAATATGTTTTGCTATAATTTTAACACAGTTTTATATCAATTTCTCTCGACAGAAACATCAAATAGAACTCTAATAAGTCTCAATCAACTCCGGAGATGCTCAGGTTTCAGCATATACTCCTTTTCATTTTTCCTTTACAGTCCCTTTAAGCACGGTAGTCCATCTATAGTATCCTTAACATTTTCATAATATTTCTTTTTCTTTTTTACAATCAAAAATTGTAGAGAAAATTTATAGATTTTTTTTCTCAGCAAATCTTGGAATGGCTGGCACTTTTTTATTATTAGCTGTTTCTAATAAGTAGATAAATAAAAAATACTTTTGTTGATGTTGCAGTTTTCAAATTTACTTTCTAGTTATTGAGATATTTTAAGAAAACAAAACTCTGTTATAACTGAATGATTTTATAACTATTGGTGCTTTTTTTTACAAGCGCTACAGATTTGAAATACATTTAGATCGAGAGACAATTACATTTTCTTTGACTGTAACAGATTCTTAGACCAATCAGAGCCTAGACTATAGGAAAATCTAACCAATCACAGATGAAAATTAATACAAAAGGAAACAGAAACGCAATATCAAACAATATCAAACAATATCTACAGAATGTTCCTTTTTCAATCCCGAACTTTAATTGTAAAAAAAATATTATGAGAATGTTCTGTATACCGTGCTTAAATAATCGAATTAGTCCTGTTTTTTAAGTAGAATTAGTCCTGTTTTTTAAGTAGAATTAGTCCTGTTTTAAGTAGAAAGTTAAGATTGTTAACGGAAGATTATTACCGGAAGACTGTTGGGGGAGGTTCGGAAGCATTATGGAGACGTGCACTGCCGAAAATAGGTAAAATGAAGTTAGGAAGCTGTGCTGATGGAGTTGCCTTTCCTCCTTCTTGCAATGATCATCTGTGAAAAGTAAGACAAATACCTATGAATAGCTAATAGGCTATTAAGTTTACCCACAAATTACCCAAATAAGTGAACGATCCCTTTAAAGATAATACTTATTGCCTGATTTAGTTCCCTTTAAACCACTGTCATACAAATGTATTATTTTTTAATGTGTTTCTCTATATATAAACTTTAATTGTGTCCGATTTATGCAATTTCTACTGCAGGACATCTCATGGAGAATTAAACAAAATCAAACACTATTCAAATTAAGCAACGACGTTTTTGATCAGAGAAAGGTTTAAGGGTAACATTTGAATCTGACATGCCCCTTGTTAAATGCTGAATGATGACGTGAACGTGGATCAATATCGTGGTGGCTAATGGTCATACCATGCAGCGATTACTTTGATTTAGGTTTCAATCCGGGAATTTAAATTTGCGCGCCCACACATTGCATTGTGAAGGAAATGAATGTTTTCCACAAATTCAGATTTTCTGACCCCTTTATCCTTGCAACCCAATGTCGTAGATCTTAGATATTTCAAACTACGAATTCAGTTGGATCAAGTAATCTAAGTTTGAAATATCAAAGGCTTATATCATCAAATTGCAAAGATATAGGGATGAGAAAACTTCAGTTTGTGGCAAAAACTCAATTTCTTTGTAAATCTAGTTTTCAAGATTAACAATACTCATAAAAGTTGTGTGGACTCTTCCCTGGTTTCCTATCAAAACATCTCAACTTTTTTTTGCCATAAGATAATATCAACATATGCATTTAAAGAAATTCATTTAAACAATCTTATGTGCATTTGATGAAGCAGTTTGAAAATCAACTTATGAAGTAAAATGGGATTATGCTGCTGCACAATAGATATTCTTTGTATAACTTGAGTTGTCTTTTCATTCCACAGGTTTTGCAGTACACTTAGCAATGTAAATTTACTTTGTAACAGGATTTCAATTTTTTTCCCGGGTCAATTTGGTTTCGTAAAGACCTTTCACGATACCTTTTCTAAGGCATGTTTAGAATGATAAACTATTCACCACTTTTGGAAACTATGAGCGGAATCTTTTTCAAAAAAATCAACCTACAAGGCTACAATATGCTACAAGAGCTGAACCAGTTTACAGTACGATTAATCCATATAAAGCAGATCCAAGAAAATTGTCCCGTTTTTTAAGCATGTCACACACATAGCTCTGTGTACTGTATATCCATTTAGGGCTGGATTTATTCTTAATTCGGTTAAGAAAGATTTCACCTTAACATCCAAACCTTTTTTAATAGTTTATCATTCTCCATGGCTCCAGGAAAGCTTCCATAATGCCTTTTCGGAACAAAATTGATTCGAAAAAATTTGAAACTCTACTTTATACTCTGTTTAAGGTATAATGCCGGCGATACTGTAACTGGTAATGTTCAGGGAAGGATTATGTTGGGAATTATAAATTATTATTGTAAACAGTAAACGGGTATACTACTACTACAACTACTACAGACGCGTACTTGCAAGTTAGAAGTTCCATTTAATAGAGTTGAATATCAAATTCTCAATGGGATCCTGAAAAGCTTTGCCTAATTAAGATTGAGTGAGATATCCATGATTTTTCGCTTTGAATTTTTTTTTCAATTGTGGTTATCCTATTAAAGTGACTCGCAGACGCAGTTGTGGAGAACTATACACTTACCAAGTTAGAAAAACAGCGATATCTTACTCCTTGTTGATTCTGACGAGGGAGGGAAGGCACACCACACCGCTTTTTTCGTCCGACCACAAATAACGTTACAAACTCACCATTTATCTTCCGAATATACCGTGTTTCGTCTAGAATTGTTTACATTATTTTTTTAAGCACTTTAATTTGTTATATTCGAATTTTAAACCACATCATGTCGTTTGTAATGGTTTAAAATATCTTGTCCTGTTTTTTTTTAAATAACATCTAATGAAGGTACAGTAGGCATAAAACAGTTCATTGAATTTTTTGTTTCACAATCCTTCAAACAAATCAAACCAATTTTTTTTCTTTTTCACACAAAATGCATTTTAAACAAAATCAGAACATGACGTTGTCTAAATTTGAAAAAAAGTGTTATAAAGCTTAAAAAATACAGAAGCAACGCCCGGACGAAATAAAGGTGTGATCGGAAGAAATAATGTCAATTTTTGACGTCATTTGTGTCGCGGACGTAAAAAGATTTGGTTATGCCTTCCCTTGCTCTTTAAACAGTTGTCAATGTCTCAAGTGCTCAATTCGATCAATAATTAAGAAACACAAAATGGAAATAATTAATTTTTAGATTAATCAGACAAAGCCTTTTAGGATACGGTTGTGATTGGATACACCTCTCTTCACATAGAGCTCTAGTTTAAATAACGAAGCAGTCCAATTGATTGGTGCTTTTCAAAAATCATGCCTTTTTAATTTGTAAATACCTTTAAACCCTTTGAATCCTATGACATGAGTATTGAAAGCCTTTAACTTTTAAATAACCCTTGAATCTTAATATTACCTTTATATACCCTTGAGACCTTTAGACCTTTAGACCCTATACTTTTAAAACAGATAACCCTGTAAACCTTAAAACAGATAACCCTGTAAACCTTAAACAGATAACCCTGTAAACCTTAAACAGATAACCCTATACTTTTAAAACAGATAACCCTGTAAACCTTAAAACAGATAACCCTGTAAACCTTAAAACAGATAACCCTGTAAACCTTAAAACAGATAACCCTGTAAACCTTAAAACTTTTTATAAAACCGTTAAATCTCCTATATAGCCTAAAAAACTTACGAAATACTTAAAAAAAATTATTACAAACTTTGTAATACCTTTAAATCCCCTATATCACCTTTTAAACACCTATCCTACAGCATTTTTAACCCCTACAACCTTAAATTCCCCCTATCTCAAACCTAAAAATACCTTTTACCCGTTTTTATATATAAAACATTCAAGACCCTGTTGTACTTTAAAAACCCTTTGTATACTTCAAAACCCTTTATATAGCTTAAAACATATACGGGTACGTGGGAAAGGATGAGACTGGAACAACGACTTAAAAATGTTTAAATAGGACTACCCCAAGTTTAAATCAAGTCTTCTACCTTGAAGCTGGTCTTAAATTCCTTATTTGTTTATTTCACAAAAAAAAGTTTATAGTTGCTTGCAGGGAGTTATGAATATAAGGAAATATACAGTATGAATCCTGTACAGTCGTCTCTGAAGTGTCTCATCCTTTGTGGGTGACACTGTATTTAAATAACCTTGTAAACTCCTATAAACCCTGTGAATCCCCTGTAAACCCCTGTAAACCCCTATAAACCCTATAAACCCCCTTGTAAACTTCTATAAATCCTGTGAACCCCTTGTAAACCCCTGTAAACCCCTATAAACCATGTAAACCCCCTTGTAAACTCCTTTAAACCATGTGAACCCCCTGGAAACCCATATAAACCCTTTGAACCCCCTGTAAACCCCTGTAAACCCCTGTAAACCCTGTGAACTCCCTGTAAACCTCTATAAAGCCTGTGAACCCCCTGTAAACCCCTATATACCCTGTGAACCCCCTGTAAACCCTTGTAAACCCTATGAACCCCTGTAAACCGTATAAACCCTGTAAACCCCCTGTAAACCCTGTAAATCCCTATATATCCTTTAAAAGGTGATATGCCTGGAGACTACGAAGTTCAACCAGCTTGTTCTTTGTCTCTGTGGGAAGGTAGGCTACACAAAACTAATTTTTTTATTTTAGAAAGTGCTGAAGATCGACCAACTGTGTTTTTTTGGGAAGGAACTTGTGATGTTAAATAAAACATTTCCATTTGAATCTAGTGTTTCTAATCGTTTCGGTTCGTTTTTTTAAAAACTTTTAGTAAAACTTGGAAAATTTCTAAACTTTTTTAAAACAAGTTTTCTCTTGGTAAACTTTAAGTGTTGTACCCTAAAAGAGACAAATGAAAAAAGATCTAAAAACGATCTTTAGAGGAACACGTTCGGTTTGGGATCATGCAACTAATTTTTGCTTTCTTTGTTTCAATGCCAGTTATCAAACAGGGTCTTGCTTTGATCTGCCAAATAGTAATAGCTGTGGTCGAGACAATTTTAAGAATAAATATTCTGTAAGTTTAAGTTTTGAAATTTTTCATCGTTTATCAAAAGCTAACTTTCTAAGTCAAGGTCAACTTGGCCTACAGAACATCCAGAACTAGCGCTGATGATTAAAATTGGCCGAGTGGGATATTATTTTAATTAATTTTCCCAAGGGGACAGTTTAGTAATTTAACATCATTGGTCTGAAATGTTGGTCAAAAGATGGTGACAGTGTGAACTAATTACCTACAGGGTGTCCCGTATCATATTTGAATCATTTTTAAAAATTGAATAAGGCTGACATAAAATTTTCTTGCAAATAATGCAAGGTTTTTCCATTATTATGTGTTCATTTGGGCTTTAAAGCTTGGAGATAATCTAATATGATATTGGACGCTCTGTACATAGTACCTAATTAATGTACGTAGAGAATCTTTCCATTATTATAAGACAATGACGTCTTTTAGTTCGAACTATTGTCTAGATAAATACTATTTTCTTGTAAGAATTGTAAGTTTTGAAAAGGTAAAATTGAAAAATCAATTTAAAAGAATGAAAAAATAACGCCCGCTCACTCCATTTAGAAGGGAGCTTTTCAAATATCATACATGGAGATCTTTTAAATTATACCAGAAAATCTCTTTTCATCTCAAATTTTAATAAAAAATCAGATAATTTGATTTATTTCTAGTTGAAGATAACCTGGATAGAGTCCAGTGCATCTGGGAATAACGTTCTGAGTGATACAATTCCCTACCTTTACCAGCAAATTGTTATCAGAGAGGTATATTCAATTTAGAAAATATAAACTGGTGATATCTTCTTTTTTATTTTTTTCATCTGAATAATAAAACTCTTCGCGCATGTATTTTATATATATGTTTGCTATGCTGGCCAATATGCTAGAATAAATTGGCTGAACTTTTTTGAGGAAACCCAGGGGCATTTTTGAATTTTTTAAAATTTCACTGGCAACGCCAGCATTTCAGCTAAAATATAGTTTTAAACGGCTGGAGTAACTATAAGTAATAATATAAACCTGGATACTCTATCTATTAATTGTCATTTTTATTATTGTTATAATTATTTAACAATTTTATTATTATTAGTCTTATAGTATTTTCTTATTTTTTAAATCATTGTGGAGCATTTTGATGTACAGTTTGTTGTATTAGAAATGCAATCCATCCCCCGTGCAAAACAGTGTCAAAAGCTACTTTTTAGGCAATTAGCCGGGATAAGATGTCTCAGTGGATTTTCCCTGGCAAATGGACTTATCCATTCTCCTTCGAGCTGGATCCACATCTTCCACATTCACTTGATGATGCTAAGTATGGATCGATGCACTATCAGGTACAGGGTTAACCACAGGATCCACATTCCACATCTTCCACATTTACTTGATCATGCCAAGTATGGATCGATGCAATATCAGGTACAGGGTTAACCACAAAGGATGAGACTTCTGAGCCTAAACCTTATGACAGCGCATCGTTATGAAAGCCAGTTTTGTAATGGGGTTAGGCAATTTTGTGGATATCAATATTTTTGTTATTTAATATTATTTTATTTAGTTTCTTAATATTCTCCAGATTTTTATCGAATCTCTTAGATCAAAATCTACACAACTGTCAAGACCCCAAAAAGGAAACTCGACGATACTTAGAGATGCCTGTACGGAGTTTGGGCGGGGAAAATATAACGCTAATAATATAACAACCAAATTTAACGATCAAAAATATAACTGATAAAATTTTACCCGATTCTAACCCTTTTCGACCAAAAATATAACCATTTTCGACCAAAAATATTACCATTTTCGACCAAAAATATAACTTTTTTCGACCAAAAATATAACTATTGTCGACCAAAACTATAATCATTTTTGACTAAAAATATGACCATTGCTTTAACCAAAAATATAACTATTTTGACCAAAAATATAACTATTTTTAGCCAAAAATATAACTGTTTTTTAGCCAAAAATATAGCTATTTTTGCCAAAAAATATAGCGTTTTTTTAACCGAAAACACAAACATTTGCGACCAAAAATATAACTATTTTTGACTAAAAATATAACAGGCAAAAACATAACAGACCAAAAATATAACCATATTCTAGCAAAAATAGGATTTTTTGCCTGTCTATGTATGCAAAGACTTTACAAAGATGCTTGTTGCATCCTCTGCACGTTTTCTTTTTCATACTCTGTTTTAGGTATCTTATACTGTTGCCCACTCTTGTTAACTAAAGTGTCCCCCCCCCCTTTTCAAGAGAGAGGAACGTACTCCGGGAGTTGGGTACTTGACACTGATTCTTCGTAAATTGCGAAGTTCTTTAGAACATTTTCTGTTTATTAATCGAACAGTTTATGGCTTTATTTTATAGAATTCAGAAGAATCACGTTTATTTTTCAATGAAAATTTATTTTCATCATTAGAAAAGTTCTCCGTGGTTAAATTTCAAGTTAAAAAATGTTTCCACTTTTAGTTAAAAACAGTTATACTTTAAGTTAAAAAACGTTTATATTTTTGAATTAAAAGTAGTTTTATTTTTGGTTTGAAAATGGTTTTATTTTGGGCTAAAAAGTGGTTGTATTTTTACTTAAAAATGGTTATATTTTTGGCTAAGAAAAGTTTATATTTTTAGATAAAAACTGGATATATCTTTGGTTGACAAAAAAAAAATTTATATTTTAGATAAAAACGGTTATATTTCTTTAAAAATATGCTATATTTTCGGTAAAGAAAATGGTTAAATTTTGGTTTAAAAAACTGGTTACATAAAAGGCCAGTTATATTTTTAGTTGGTTCAATTTTTGGTGGTTCCATTTTAATTAGTTAAATATTCGGTCAAAACATGGTTATATTTTTGGTGGTTATATAATTAGAGTTAAATTTCCCCGCCCATTGGAGTTGACACTGTCGGCTTTCTAATATTCATGTACCTGCAAGTGTAAAGTTGTTCTTCTCTTTGATATTTCATTTAGTAAGCTTTAAAAGGATGTATGCAAGGCAGAAGACTTCCTAAACGGAAATGAATCATTTACAATAAATTTTGTTAAAATTGTTTAATGATAGCTAATGAATTTTACAGGGATGTGTAAAGCTATATATGCCAGGAGCTCGGGAATCTGATTCTTTGGAGGAAGGATTCTTTGTCAGGTAAGCAGCTGATAGGTCAGATAAACAGCTGACACGTCAGTTTAACAGCTGACAGATCAGAAAAACAGCTGGCAAGCCAGTTTAACAGCTAACTGGTCAAGTAAACAGCTGATAGTTCAGATAAAAAGCTGACAGATCAGATAAACAGCTGACAAGCCAGGTTAACAGCTAACCGGTCAAGGAAACAGCTGATAGGTCAGATAAAAAGCTGACAAGTCAGATAAAAAGGCTGACAAGCCAGGTAAACAGCTAAATGGCCAAGTAAACAGCTGATAGGTCAGATGTGCAACTGCTAGTTTAGTTATCAGCTGGCAGGTCAAGTATACAGCTTACAGGTTTCAGTAAACAGCTGATATGTCAGGTATACAAATGATAGGTCGGTAAAAAAAGCTAACAGCCCAGGTAAACAACTTCAAGGCTAGGAAAACAGCTGAAAAGTCAGTTAAAAAGCTGAAAGGTCAGGTAAACAGCTAACAGGTAGGGATGGGCAAAGCCATATTCTTTTTTGTTAAACCTTAGGTCTAATTAAATGATACTTGGTGGAGTTTGAAATGTTCATTCACAAAAACTTGTTACGGAATATATGGGAGCGTTAGGACTGTGGAGTTAGTTTCTGTAGGAGAGATTTAGGGAGCTTCTCAACTGCTCGTATTGATGAATCTTCAGAACACAGAGCTGTCTGGAGCAGAACTGTAGAAGGCTGCTTCTGTAGGGAGCTGCTTGAAGCTGGTGTAGATGAATCTTTAAAGCTGTCTGGAGCTGAACTGTTGAAGGCTGCTGCTGTAGGAGAGCAGCTAGAAGCTCATTAAAATAGAATCAGGGATTTGGATATCTGATTTTAGAGTATCAATAAAATTCCCTTTTTGCTGGTACAGAGTTGATTTGTGAACTCTGGAGCTGAGCAAGGGACGGCTGCAACTGATGACATCCTCTTTCCAAGATTTCAACGTTAGATTTAAGGCGTATGTCTTAACCTTGAGCCGAAACGTAAAAATACACAGTGTTCACAGGACGTTCACAAAAAATACAAACCTATAAATAAATTTTAACTATTCATAAAAGCACAAATATCAATTCTTAAAGAATCTGTTACATTCGTTTGTGAATTTTACAAAAAAGGAGTTTTAGTTTATGTAAACACCAAACAGAGTTCCCATATACAGAGACAATTGATTCCAACCATGATATAAGATTCTTTGTTAAAAATACGTACTTTGAACTCCGTTACATTTTACAGAAACTGTTATTGTTTTTAGACTTTTAAAAGGTTTTATGACAATATGAGAAGGTTCCAACATTTTAAGACCTTATTATGTAGAAGTTTGCTTTTATCAAGCATGCAAATGTGTTACCCATAGAATAAAATAAAAAACGATCGTTTTGGGGGTTTTAAACGAAAGTTTTTGGTTTGTTTTCGCCTTATATTTTCACCTAGTATAACAAATTTTCATGTTTGATAAAATAAAACCTCTACTAAATACATTTTTTAATCGTTGGACCCTTCTCAGATTGCCGAAAACTTTTCAAAAGTCTAAAAATATTAAAAGTTTCTGTAAAACAAATCTAGCTGTTGCCCATCGCTACTATAGGGCCAGGTCAAAAGCTGACAGGTCAGGTAAATAACGAACAGAACAGGTATACAGCTGACAGGTCAGGTAAGCAGGTGACAAGTCAGATATACAGCTGACAGGTTAGGTAAGCAGGTGACAGGTCAGATATACAGCTGACAGGTCAGATATACAGCTGACAGGTCAGATATACAGATGACTGGTCAGATATACAGCTGACAGGTCAGATATACAGCTGACAGGTCAGATATACAGCTGACTGGTCAGATATACAGCTGACTGATCAGATATACAGCTGACAGGTCAGATATACAGCTGAAAGGTCAGATATACAGCTGACAGGTCAGATATACAGCTGACAGGTCAGATATATAGCTGACAGGGTCAGATATACAGCTGACAGGTTAGATATACAGCTGACAGTTCAGATATACAGCTGACAGGTCAGATATACAGCTGACAGGTCAGACATACAGCTGGCTGGTCATGGGCAAATAACTAGCTGGTCAGGTAAACAGTTTACAGCTGTCAGGTAAACAGTTTACAGCTGTCAGGTAAACAGTTTACAGCTGTCAGGTAAACAGTTTACAGCTGTCAGGTAAACAGTTGACAAGTCAGGTGAACAACTAACAGGTTAGGTAAACAGCAAATAGGTTAGAGAAAAACATTAAATAGTTTAGAGAAACAGCTGAGAGGTTAGAAAAACAGCTGAAAGGTTAGAAAAACAGCTGACAAATCGTTTATACAGCTGACAGGTCAGGTATCCAACTGTCAGGTCAGGAAAACAGCTCTGTAGATCAGAAAAATAAAAGATGAAAGATATTTAATATTTTATTAACAAAATCTCTAAAAGAAAATACATTTATCCAGAGCTAATGATGATGAACACTCCCAGCAAGCAAATGAAGACAACCTTCCCAAGGAAAATTACATTCCATTTCTTTTAATAAAAATAACCGAACAATTAAGCCACAAACGTTAACTTTCTTACATCCCAACATCTTAACAACCTGATGATATCAACCTTCCATATTTCAAACTATAACTGTAGCAAAAAGTGGGCAAAAATGATATTCTTTAAAATTGCAGAACGTTGTACATTGCTAATGATTTAATATTGAAAACTTGTATAATGACATTATTCATTAAAACTGTGTTTCAATGGAATATTTAATATGATTAGCTCGAATCATGCGACATAATTGAATTACGTGATAAATCATTTTTCTCTAATCTTGTAAAATACATAATACGATGGTTTTAATCATATGATATAGATAACATCGTAGGAATTGAATTACGTCAATTTCTGTTAACTTTGTAACATAAGCTATTTGAATAAAGTTAGTTAATTGAGACTCGGCTTTTGATTACGTTATCAGAAGCATGGTAAGCTTGGAACAAAGCTTTGGTTCTTGTTAAAAATACGAGCGGAGATCTTTGCTAGTTGATTTAGAATTGAATCAAATATAGCTTGAAAGATAGCATTGGTTCTCGTTGAAATTGATCTTGGTAACGAGTAGACCTGGATAGATACAGGGTGTCCCACGAAACATGACAGTATGCAGGACGACTTGAACGTCGTCTTGATTTTTGATATAATTTGCTGCGTTTATTTGTCAACCTAATTTTAGAAGTAAATTTCTAGAGATAATAATCACAAATTTCCCTTGTCCTGCCATTTCCAAAATGTGGTCTGCCTTTTTTGTGCTTTCAATATTGCCGGAGATATGAAGAATTTCGTTCAGATTTCGACAATTTTGCTTTTATTTAACAAAATTGAAATCTGAACCAAACTCTTTATATCCCCGGTAATATTGAAAGCACAAAAAACGCAGACCACTTTTTGGAAATGCCAGGGCTAGGAGAATTATGTGATAATTGTTTCAAGAATCATACATGTTAAAGTAGATAGAAGACTAAATGTCAAAAATAAATTCAAATACCAAAGACGACTTTCAAGTCGTCTTGCTATTGTCATGTTTCGTGGGACACCCTGTACGTCTTGAGTAAATTTTTATGGAGTAGGTATTTGCTAAAAAACTACTTAACCAATACCAGTGCATAATTAGACAAATTAATGTGAGATACCGTACCACAAAAAATCTGACGCTTTGACATTTATTGGATACAAACAAACGAACAAACTAAAAAGATCCAATGAGCCAAAAATAGTAAATTGGAATATTAACAATGTTAGGAGAATGTGGAGTATGGAAAAATCAAGAAGATCTTCAGCAAGGTAAAAAATAAATTCCACTCATTCCAAATCCCAAATTTCATTTTTCATGCAGTGAAACCCTTAATAACGAATACATCGGAAGAATTTATCAAATGTCGTCTTGACAATTTTTCAATTAGTTTTATACTATATTACGTAAATTTCAGTATTTGCGAAAATAAATGAATAGCCATGAATATGAGGGAACAGTTTTAAAGAGTTCCATATAATCATTTAATTAAAAAACTAAATATCTGCAACATTCCATTATCAGAAAGTTCAGAATACGACATTTGATGAATTCTTTCGATGTATTCGTTGTTGAGGGTTTCACTGTATAAATATATATTCATGGTGAGTAAAAAAAAAATCGGGATTATCCATGTTTGGGTTTTAGTCATTAACCAAATAAAATGTGATAAAAAATTCATTATTCTTTTGTAAAGATAAAATTTTTGATAAATTGTTAGGAAAATGTTTATAATTATGGTTATAATTTGATAAAATTTACTGTAAATTTCCACTCTAAATTTTTGCGGATTTTTTGTAAAATCTCATTTAATTTTTAATAAATGAAAGTTAAAAAAACAAATAAACATTTAAACAAGAATTTTGAAAAAGTTAAATTTTTCAAAAAAATTGGTTTCGCGGATTTTCTTTCCAATGTTCTAAAAATATTTTAGATTTTTTTATCACGTTTTATATGTTTTATCCCTAAAATCCAAAAAAAACTAAAATTTAGAATAGAATAGAAAACATGTATAATCCCGATTTTTTACTCCCCCTGTATATAAATATATATTTATATATATAGTTTCAAATTCAGACTCTTTTACTGCCTTGTACTGCAGGTTTAACTAGATAATAGATAATACTTTAATGACTTGAAACACGATAAAAAAAAGTCAGATTCAAGCATGTCCAAAATGGTTTTGTAAATAGATGTAAATTGTGGGGCAAAGGAATATCTGCCAAAGGCCTAAAATTTAAGATGATGAAAATCTGTAAAGTCTCATCCTTTGTTGGTAACCTATAGTACACCTAGCGATGGGCATTAGCCAATTTCGGAAACTTTTATTTTTTTTTAATCTTTGCCACAATTTCCAATTTTTCAATCCCTATATTTTTAAACCCAATGTCGTAGACCTTAGCTAATAGATAATTCATGTTAGATAAAATTATCTATAGTTTGAAATATCAAAAGTATACACCATGAGGTTGCAAAGATATAGAGAATACGAAATTTGAATTTGTGGCAAAGGCTGAATCCCTTTGAATATTAAATAACTATTTCTAATATTTTGTCTGAAGCCGAAGAACCTGGAGGTTGTTGTCAAACTAAAGAGGAATATTTACAAGCCAGGGCAGACTATAAGGTACAGTACACTACAAGGTGTCCTAATAAACATGGGAATTGAGTGATGATTTTGAATTCGTCTTTTTAAATGATTTTTGATTTAGCATAGTAATACCTACTGCAAAAGCAGAATTTTGGTTTGGTAGCGTTGAGAACTTGTTTGTTCATGTTTTGAGTGCATTCTGTACAAAGAGAATAGAATATATATTAGAGGGGAATTTACTAGAAAGAAGTGTAAAACGGCCATTTTGTTGTACTGTTTCCATACTGCAGGTGTACTTTACAAATTTATGCTATATAACCTTTTGGGCCCTGGAATATCATTTTATAGAAAATCTAAAATTAATATTAAAAGAAAACCAAATTATGAAATAGGCTGGTTTCATAACTGACCAATGATCATTTCACATAGACTCTATGCCTTTTACTTTACAAACGATGATTTTCCGCTATAACTATAAATCAAATGATGTTTTTTATTCACCTAATTCATTATAAAGTTTATTTAACAGCTTTAAAAAATTCGAAATTGAAATGGATAGTCTAGGGAACATAATGTATTAATGTACTCTACTGCATATAATTTGTGAACATTTACATGATTTGTACACTTTGAACTCCCTTTCAGGCTGAAAGGGACTGAAAAAATTCATACCGAGAGATTCTCTAAATTCCCCTCTAATATATATTCTATTTTCTTTGATTCTGTAGTACTTAGTAAAATGAGAAATTCCGGTGCCCTGCACTGCACAGAGGGAGGAAGGCCGCCTCAACAAGCTATCGTCCGGGAGAGGGGGAATCAATATCAAGTGTCGTACACCCAGTCTAAAAGTTGCCAATACAGCATGTACTGTAGTGTCCAATCTTGACCATGAAGTGAAAGTCGACCCAGAATTTTTATGTAAAATGTATCTTGGCAACATCATACTGCTTTCATTGTGAATGTCGAGCTTACTCTGTATTGATTTGTATTAATCTCTTGTACTTTTTTTTCACGACAAAAATTTATTTATATTATAATTTACGCAAAAGGCATCAAAATATTGATACTGTAACATATTTTGTTTAGTCCAGTAGTTGAAGCATTCCTTGAAACAGGAGCTAGCAGTGCTTATATTGATACTGTAAACATACTGTGTTTAGTCCAATAGTTGAAGTATTCCTTGAAACAGGAGCTAGCAGTGCTTCTGTTGATACTGTAACAAATTTTGGTTAGTCCAGTAGTTGAAGTATTCCTTGAAACAGGAGCTAGCAGTGCTTCTGTTGATACTGTAACAAATTTTGGTTAGTCCAGTAGTTGAAGTATTCCTTGAAACAGGAGCTAGCAGTGCTTATATTGATACTGTAACAAATTTTGGTTAGTCCAGTAGTTGAAGTATTCCTTGAAACAGGAGCTAGCAGTGCTTATATTGATACTGTAACATACTGTGTTTAGACCAGTAGTTGAAGTATTCCTTGAAAGGGGAGCAAGTGCTTCTATTGATACTGTAACCTGCTGTTTAGTCCAAGAGGCAGTATTTACTGTTAATATAGGTAAATACACTGAAAATTTCAAAATATAAACAATCGCTTATTTGGCAGTGAAGGTTAGATGGCTGCCAAACTTGTCTCAAATCTGAGACGCGGCTCAAATTCTTTAAATTCGGCCTCGTGACTGTAAAATCAAGCATTTGCTACCAATGCTATTATAAAGGTGTACCTCATGTAATATTATCTAGATCAAGATGACGAGGCGAAGAACAAGGAGGTGATGGTCTGGGGTTATGCTGAGCAGAAGCAGGCTATCAAGGCAGGAGAGCTGATTACCTTCAAGGATTTGAGGGTTAAGATTGACGAGAATATCCAACTTACTGGATATCCAGGTTTAATAATTATATAATTTTAAAAAATCTATTTTCAAAATCAAACCTCGTGAATGGATTGTCCAGTAGAATTTTAAAGATTAAAATTACGCTCTTGCTGAACAATGAAATTATTATGAATCCTAAGATATTTGTCTACAATACTACTGCACGCTCAGATCAACTACAATGTCTAGGTAGTCACTCCCTTTAATGGCACTTCTGAAGATGTACATAGGTGTGGCATGCATGATACATATTACCATAGATAATATAAATTTAGTAAGATCTGTGATTTCAGGAACAGATAATATAGATATCGGATACTTTATACATGCAGTTGCTAAAACTCCGAAGGTAATTACTGCTTGCTAAAGCTTTTCTAAATTTATTTTGTTTTTTCTTTAAAGTGTTGAATTCTGATAGTTTTATTCATTGTCTGTACAAAAGCATATTAATGCACAAGTCACTTTCACAAAGAACCAACAATAAGAAATAATAAAGGAATTTAGTCTTTGCAACAAATTCTTATTTTCTATTCCCTATATCTTTGCAACCCAAATGTCGCTGACCTTAGATTTTTCAAACTATGAATTCTGTCGGATCAAATAATCTAAGTTTACACTATCAGCTTGCAAAGATATAGGCAACGAGATTAGAATATATATTAGAGGGGAATTTAGAGAATCTCTCGGTATGAATTTTTTCAG